TTTGAGGAACTTGGTTTTCCCTTGTCTATGTTGAGGCCTACTGATGTAGAAGCTGTTGCTACATAATTTGTCTTCATCTGCAAATTATGTGTCGGATGTGGGATGCATATTTTTTACTTGAATCAATTTCCGGTCTTATATTCACATCAAAAAATACAATCGGCAATATCTATCTCATCTACTGAATTGTTAAACTTCACCAGTCAGTCACAGATTAGTAACAAAAGTCTAATATTTATATAAATGTCTTTGTTATAGTATCAGGAAGCAGTCAACAAGTAATTATGGCGTCATAGTCATTCAATATTCAACTGTACTTACTTACGCCTATTACTCCTAATAGAACATAAGCCGCCGACCAGCATTCTCCAACCCACTCTGTCCTGGTCTCTCCTTTCTAATTCTATCCAATTGTTGTTCATTCTTCTCATATTTGTCTCCCTTTCTCAGCGTAGTTATTTGTTTGATCTTCCACTTCCCCTTTGGTCATAAGGATCCAGTGTGAGGATTTGCTTTGTGATGTAGTTGGGTTAATATGTACTATTCACGATTTGATTATCATAATCAAGTGACCAAATAGACCGAAGATTTCTCAAATTTCTTTTTTAAGTAAATAATGAAATTGAAAGAAAAAACAACTTGTTGTCAAAAGATAAACAAGATTTACTATCCACTAAAATTCTAGTCTGTTGTTTTCTTAATTACAAGCTATTAGTAGTGTGTATGAAAGTATTCCAATGTAAGTGAATGGTATTGTATGGTTACACACACACACACACACAGACGTAAAATCTGTATTAGATGAACTGGAATCAATCAACTATTTCCGTTTGGTATAATACCACTGTCACAATTGTTTTTAACCATAAAGATCTATTGTTTTTAATTTTAGTTAATTGAGTAAACGAAAACAAAGAATTTTGCAGTAATTTATACATTATGAAATTCAAGAGAAATAATGGACAGTAGTTACCAATTGGTTTCATACTTATATTTAGCAATGCTTTATAATTAGTGAATGGGTATACAGTAGGGCAGCATCATTGATGAACATGGTGGATCTAATGCAGATGTGAAGGCGTGAATCGGCAAAGCAACAGCAGTATATCTACAATTGAAGAACATCTGAAACTCAAAACAACGTTCTGTCAACCGACACCAAAGTCACAATTTTCAATTCAACTGTCGAGATAGTTCTACTGTCTACTGGGGCGAAAACTTGGAGAACTACCTCAACCATCATCCAGAAGATACAAGTGTTTATTAACAGCTGTCTATGCAAAATACTTCAGATCCGTTGGCCGGACATTATCATCAACAACCTACTGTAGGAGAGGACAAACCAGATTGCAGTGGAGGAAGAAATGAAGAAGAAGCTTTGGAAGTGGATAGGATACACATTGAGAAAAGCACCCAACTGCGTCACAAGGCAAGCCCTCACATAGAATCTTCAAGGCCGAATGTGTTGAAGAGGAAGACGAAAGAACACATTACGTCGAGAAATGGAGACAGATATGAGGAGAATAAACAGAAATTGAATAGAACTAGAAAGGAAGGCCGTGGACAGAGTGGGTTTTAGAATGCTGGTCGGCGGCCTATTCTCCATCGGGAGTAACGGGTGAAAGAAAATAAATATGCTTGAAATTGAGGATACGATATTAAGGAAAGATGGTGAGTCGATCAGTGTTGTTCAATCAGGAAGTTGTTTGTGGATATTATAGTAATTTCAATAGTTGAGATTATGAGTCAATTGAAGATAGACCATCATGGAAAACCTGGAATTACTGGAAGGCCGTTCCGCATTAATGTGGGACGCCTCAGCAGTGCTCATTCACGATCCCGCCTCACGAGATTTGATTTCAGGATCTATCGGTCTCACGCGCGTGTGCTCAACTTGCAGAACTCCGAGCTGGCATCCAACGTTGTTAATGTTTAACTTCAATTAATCCACCAAATTGAGCGACACATCCACAATTAACTTCAGTGAGTTACTATTTCACAACAGACCCTGTTGGGTTAGAATCTCGTGAAGCGGGATCGTGATCGCGCTCTGCTGAAGAGTCGCCGATTCAGACGAAACGGTCGTTCAGTGCTTCCATGTTTTCCATGGTGGTCTAGCTTCAACTGACTGATGATCTCAACCACTGAAATTAATGTTGTTCACTTTCATCGACTGAGATATATAGATAGATAGATAGAATATGTGCTATGCATTGTTGACCTTTGTTTATTTCGACAAGCTACGTCATCACACCCATATCTAGAATAGATAAAGACGAAACTCGGTCACGCAATTAAAATGTGGTAGTTTACAACAGTTTTAATTGAGAGAATTTGAGTTGCGGACTGATCTTAACTAGACCATCAGTGAAAACATGAAACAACTATCGTAGTATAGAAATCCTCAGCAGTGTGCATCCAGTAGCCGGGATCCGAGAATCGAACCGACGATTGTTGGTCTCGCGAGAACAATCAATCTAAAGACTACTGAGTCGGCATCCAGTGGTGTTAATATCTAATTTTAAACAATCCACGACACTGCGCATCCCTCATCATTTGCCTGCCATTAATAAATGCTTTACACTCAACACAGAATCAACTCTACAGGTCATACGTTCTTACTAGAACTCCAGCAGTCATATGTTGAATCTAGTCACTAGTGAGAAAATTTAGTCCATCAGCCACCAGATTGAAAGAACATTTATTGTCATTCATAGGTAACACGAGTTGATTACATAAGTCATAAAATTTCAAATTAATTTTGATGAATCTTTATGTTAATCAATAGTCAACTCAAATTTATCGTCACTATTATCTACATTGGTGAATGGATTGAGTGTAGGCTGATGGCTAACAGAAATAGGGAGAGAATTCATCAAAGTTTTATCGTTGACCTCATCAAGTGATTGTTATGAATCATTCAAACTGCTTATGTATTTAGAACTACTAAATCGAAAACCTTTCAAACAGTAAATATTCACACAGTTATGCTTGACCTCATTTTATCGGAAAACTATGTATCTGAATAGAGAATGACGTGCTGCGTTATTTGCTTAACAGATGACCAGAATTCAATTGAAAATACATTGAAAAAAGGACTGTAGTGAATGAGAACACAAGAGGGGACAATCGGATGTATTTGAACACAAAATTACAGAATCTCTCAGTAAAATCTGAGAAGCATACAGTCAATAATTTATTCGCAAAATGTTAATCACCCATCTCAGACTTCACTGTACTTTCATTTCCACCCCAGTCATTTTCGGTTACCATTCTCTTTTCTTAGAATTTCTTAATGTTCTGCCTCCATGTATTTCACTTTCGATCGATGATACACACTACTTATATCTGCCGACTTCATCAATGGCACACACCACAGAACTAGTTCACTGAGTAAATACACCTTGGTATTATAAATGAAATACTTAACTACGGTGAAGTATTTATTGAATGACTGAAAGTAATCATTGAATGAGGACAATAAAAGTCACAACATAATCAAATGAAATTACATTTTAACATGTTATATCGATAGTTTCAATTTCAACGAACATATATTTGTAGAATTATGATCTACCTCGATATTTGTACTGCTCTATGTCTAATAGACCTAATGCTAAAATTGTAGATTTGTCATGATGTAACTGTCTAATCTATGAGATCTTACATAGAATTCACATCATTGTCTAATCTGACTCATCGAATTGTAACAATTATCAATATACGATGAAGAACAAGTTTAATCTGGAGACAGAACGGAATATATTTAATATGGATAAAAGTTGTTACCTGCAAGGCCGAACCATGTTATTTGATGAATTGAATTTATTCTTTCCGCCCTCTCCATCGTTGGGGGTTTTCTCCGTGCTAAATATCGAATGTCAATTTCCCCAAATGTTTCGTGTTCAGGTTTAGGGATTTTTGTGTGATTAGAGTCCAATGCCACTACATATTTATTCCACCTGAATATTTCGTATTCAAATTATGTAGGTTTGTTCTACTGTTCTTCAATGATACACACACACGCACGTGCTCTCACACACACACACACAATAAACATAAGTTCTCAAACAATACTGTTGTCATTGTTATCACAGAATGCAAATCACTTATCACCATCTATACATAATGCACAGAAGTAATCATGTAGTTTAAGTGATTTATTGATGGAATGAATAGAAGTTATATGATTCATAACATTCATTAATTTGTGATTTGCATTTTATAGTTAAAATATTGTTTTCTTTTAATTCAACTTGAAATCAGTTGCATATTCGTTTCAAACTAAGAAGTACTAAACAACTGGTCTTTCTCTTCATCGCCTGCGGCTTTGAGGATTCTTCGTGAGGACTTGTCTTGTGACGCAATCGGGTGCTTTTCTCAATGTGTATCCTATCCACTTCCACAGCTTCTTATTGATTTCGTGCTCCGTCTGAATCTGGTTTGTTCTCTTCTAAAGTGGGTTGTTGCTAATTATGTTTAGCCGACGGATCTGAAGTATTTTGTGTAGACAATTGTTATTAATAAACACTTTCATCTACTGGATGATAGCTTTCGTAGTTCTCCAACTTTCCGTAACATGCAGTATAACTGTTATGACATTTGAATTGAAAATTCTGAATTTGCTGTTGGTTGATAGTTGCTTTGAGTTCCAGACGTTCCTCAGTTGTAAATATGCTGCTCTTGCTTTACCGATGCGCGCATTCACATCTACATCAGATCCACCGTGTTCATCAATGATGCCGCCCAAATATGTAAAGGTTTTTACACCTTCCAAATCTTCTCCGTCAATTGTGACTGGATCGGTGCATGTTGTGTCGTATCGGAGAATCTTGCTTTTCCCTTTGTGCATATTGAAACCTACTGCTGCTGAGGCTGCTGCTACGTTGGTCGTTTTCTCCTGCATTTGTGGTTGTGTATGCAACATTCTGGAAGCAGCTCTGATGGATGTAAGTAATGGTGGTGTGGATCTGTTGCCTGGAGAAAGACTTCTTGACCCTGAGTATGCGGATGATATTGTCTTACTGTGCGATAGTGCCCAAGCCATGCAATCTGCACCTAATCAGCTGGCAATCAGTGTCCGTAGGTATGGTATGTGCTTTGCACACCTTTGAAGTGCAAAGTACTTCTAAAAAACTGGCAGGATCCTAATCCTGTACTCACCCTGGATGGTGAGCAGATAGAAGTAGTCGAGAAGTTCGTGTATCTAGGTAGCTGCATAATTGCTGGCGGTGGCGTGAGTGATGAGATCAATGTATGTATAGTCAAAGCCATAGTGGCCTATGCCAATCTGGGCCACCTTTGGCGCCTTCGTGATGTCACTCTGGCTGGAAAAGGTCGGATCTACAACGCGTCGGTGAGAGCAGTTTTGCTCTATGCTTGTGAAACCTGACCTCTCCGAGTTGAGGATGTTAGAAGACTCTCTGTGTTTGATAATCGCTGTCTCCGAGGGATTGCTGACATCCAGTGGCAACACCATGTTAGTAATGCAGAGGTTCGGCATCGTGTGTTCGGGCACAGAGACGATAATGTAATCGATGTCACCATCTTTAAACACCAACTTCGGTGGCTTGGACATGTTCTACGAATGTCGTCTCAGAGAATTCCACGTGGTGCATTATTTGTGGACGTTGGGACTGGTTGGAAAGAGTGGAGAGGTGGTCAGTGTATGACATGGTGTCGTGGTATGAAAGAAAGCTGCAAAGGGCTAGCTTGTGTTGGTCCTTCACGACTCCCTGGCTGGGATAAATAAATTGTTGAAAATGGCATGAACTACTACTGACGATTTAATTTGGAGTCTCAGATATACCCCAATCTCCTCTATACCTAAAATTTGAGTATATTCAGATATAAAGAAAATTCATATGGATTAGAACAATAAATTTAGTTTTCAGTTTATTTTCAGCGTTCAATGAGTTTTCATACTCCATTCTTTGTTGAAGTTTTCCTTCGGTCTAATTGTATAATAATGTGTATGAATTTGTAAGGACAGACCACTCACACATACATTAATACAAATGAAATAAGTCATTTACATATTTTGAAATGCACAATATTCTCAATACATGAAACATTACCTAATAAACGTTCACTTAAATTAATAAAAAACTTGATTGATGTTACTAAAGAAGAAAAATTAATGTCACATAATAACATATATCCTTCCATTTTATCCAGTCACGTAGTATGTTCAATTATTACTCAAAGGGTTTACCTTCCAGCATGAAGACGACGACGACGACGACGACGACGATGATGATGATGATGATGATGATGATGATGATGATGATGATGATGATGATGATGATGATGATGATGATGATGATGATGATGATGATGATGATGATGATGATGATGATGATGATGATGATGATGATGATGATGATGATGATGATGATGATGATGATGATGATGATGATGATGATGATGATGATGATAATGATGATGATGATGATGATGATGATGATGATGATGATGATGATGATGATGATGATGATGATGATGATGATGATGATGATGATGATGATGATGATGATGATGATGATGATGATGATGATGATGATGATGATGATGATGATGATGATGATGATGATGATGATGATGATGATGATGATGATGATGATGATGATGATGATGATGATGATGATGATGATGATGATGATGATGATGATGATGATGATGATGATGATGATGATGATGATGATGATGATGATGATGATGATGATGATGATGATGATGATGATGATGATGATGATGATGATGATGATGATGATGATGATGATGATGATGATGATGATGATGATGATGATGATGATGATGATGATGATGATGATGATGATGATGATGATGATGATGATGATGATGATGATGATGATGATGATGATGATGATGATGATGATGATGATGATGATGATGATGATGATGATGATGGACACATATAGAATTCATTATGTGACAGTTATTATTAAACTCCCTTAATTTATAGACAAAAATTAAAATTATACACAGTAAATCAATATTCTTTATAATTACTATGGTGGTTTAATATTTTCCCAATAATCATATCATTATATATTTATTAATTAATTATTAATGAATACCAAACTCCGCCTGAAGCTTCTCTTGCTCCATTTCTGGTTCCAAGCCTAGATAAAGAAGGATAGTCGGGCATGAGGTTAGCGACTCCATCCCGTAAAAAACTAACTCTTCAAAAAAATACGCTAACCAGAAAAAATAATTCAAAGTAAGTAATGATTATCAGCTAGTTGAAATAAAAGTTGTCCATGTGAATTACATGACAAGATTAAACAACAATCTAATAGAACTAGAAAGGAAGGCCGAAAACAGAATAGGTTAAAGAATGCTGTTCGGTGGTTCATACTCTATGGGAGTAACAAACACAAGTAAGTGAGTGTGTAAATTACAGTATCAACACTAATAAACAAATACAAACAACTGATAATCTCCTAGTGATTACAAAAAATAGCAAAAAAAACACTCATTTGTCTATCTTGATGTTATTTTATGAAGCCTACTAAGATACTACTCAGGAACTATAACCAAAAATAGATGGAATAGTATTCAAGCCTGTGAACATTGAATATCTTAACTACTAAACTACTAATATTTATCATCAATAATATTGATTACTAGTTATGATTTCAGAAAACGAAAACAAAAACTCATTTATTATTTGCTAATCTCTATCATTAGTTAATTCTATATTTGATTATTGTTAAAATAACAAACATCTAGAAACAAGTGTCTTTAAAAATACAAAAAAAGAAAACTATCGAACAACACAACGACATGATGTACTCACTCATGAATATTTATATGTTACATAATAATGAATTTCAATATGATGAAATGATAATAATGGATCATCAAATCGAAAATCAATAACTATCAATATATTAGAGAAGATATATATATATATATATATATATATATATATATATAATTGTGAAGAAAAGAAAATAGAGAAAAGTAAGATAAAGAATAAACATTCATATTCACATTATACCATACTATATATGTTTAATTCAAAATATCAACAAATGTTTACATATGATTTCACTATTGGATAATTGAAAAAGAATTCAATTTTTACAAGAATTCTTTTGTTCTGTAATACAAGGAATAACACATACAGCTGTATTAGCATGATGTACAACATAATCACTAACACTTCCCATAATTGTACGTTTTATAGCACCTAAACCACGACTTCCAACAATTATTAAATGTACATTATATTTTTCAGCATTTTGAACAATAGATGCACCAATATGTTCAACTGGTTCATATAAAAATTGATATGTTAAATTATGTGCTAAACAATCTGTACTATAATCATTTTCTAATTCACGTACACGTTTTACATTTGTTTGTACAAGATTCGACCATTCTTCACTTGGTATACTAATTGGATTCGATAATGATATAGTTGGTAATGAGACTGGTTCTACAGCATGATAGATTGTTACTGTATCATCTGGTCTTTGTAACCATTTTAAATAATATTGAAATGCTTTTTTTGAATGTTCAGAACCATCGATAGCAATTAAAACAGATCTTGAACCAATTGGAGGTATTTTTGAAAATCCTGATGGTCTTCTATCCATATTTACATGAAATAAATTTTTTAAGAAAAATTCTTTATTTCATTTTAAATATAATTCTACTTTCTGGGCTTATTTCTTCCACCAATCAAAATTGAATTAAAATAAACTAAAATTGCAATCTGATTGGATCTTAAGTATGAATCAATTTAATTGGTTAATTTTAACTAACCAATTAAATTGGTAATATATATATGAGATTACATAATGCCTAGAATTGTAAAATCGTTAATAGACATTTTCTACCCCAGCAATACAGATTTTTTTTGTAAAATTAAATTAAATCAATAAATGAAGTAATTGAATTAAGATAGAATAATATGTTTTCATTTTGTTATATTGGGGGGTCGTTAGGGTTGAAGCTATCACGAGTTCACTTAATCTGCGAACGAGAACAAAGACTCTGTGACCAAAAACCAGTAATCTAGCTAATGATGAGTTCCAGTTCCACTAACTAAAGGGAGAAGTTCAAGCTTGGAATAGGGAAGTATATTCTGCAAAACAGCCAGAAACGAGCGATAACAACAAACACAGTTCAAAACGTATATATACAGTACAAAACCGTCCTTGGGAAGAGTTACCAAATAGCATACTAAAAGACGCAACGGACCAATAGCACTTAAGACATTTCCCTGTGGGAAATACGACATGAAGGTGGCAAGAGCACCATTGGTGCGAAAACGGAGAAATTCAAATTTTCTAAATAAAATTACAAAATTAGGTCCTTTCCCAAGTGAGTTCCGGGGATCTAACGTCCCGAACAGGGGTTTCTCTCCAGCTCCATACAACGGTCATAATATAACGAACGTATTGATAATTAGGCGAATTCGAATAAGAATGATTATTGGTATTTTATGTATGAATAAACATAGATAAAACCATTTAAAAATCGATATTAGAAATAGGAAGGGTCAGACAGTATTGATCAAATCAATTCTATTAAAATGACAGAAAATTGGAAGAGTTTATATAACCTTAAAAATTGAATGAATGAAAGTTTCGAAGGATTAGAAAGCTGATTTCAAAATGGATGAAATAACGATTAGCTAAGCGAAGATGAATGAAAAGAAAATACAAACATTAATCATAATATCAGCATAGGCAATATGGGAATGTTTCATTGTTTAAATCGTTAATTGATCTTAGACTACAATTGAAGACGTGGAAGCACTGAACAATTTTTCTTTCCAAAAATATCCGTAGATCCCCTTGTAATAATAGCAATCTATTATGTGTTAGTGACTGGCTTCAGGATGCCAGTCATTACGTTCTCGAAAGGTGTGAGATATTTATCCATAGTAAGTAATGAATGAGCGTTGCTCAATATCGTGAATTGAATGGAGTTTGAAATGTATGCCGTTAGATGCCAGTTTATTGGTCCAGAGATTAATTATCTATCTGAGAAACAGAAGGTTTTTGGCTCGATTCCTTGTACCACGGTCATGGCTGCTCACTTCCGAGGAGTCTTTTAATAAGACATAATGGTTATCCAATGTTTCCAGCTTTTTTTTACTATTGATCTAGTAATATAAGTTAGTGATTTAAAACTATGAAATTAATAGTAATAATAATAATGATTATAATTGAACATGATTTTTATCATTATCATGCATTTACTACAACAGTGATAAATTGACACTCGTCTCTTTCTGAATTCATAAATTAAGAACAGTTTTTTTTATAACAAATACATCACTAAAACCTTCAAAGTAACTTTTTTACATGTTGGTTATCTGGAATAATTCATGGGCGTCAAGGCTGTCCCCACTGCCGATTAAATGCCAGATTACAGAACGATTAAAGGTTGTAGTATCTTTTGATAATGAATTTTTTTTTAAAAACGTTTTAGGGAATACGAGCATCCACTTTCTCCTTTGTTCTTCCACTATACGCGCTTTGGTATATGATAAACTTTAAACTAACGAAGCTAAAACATGTGTGAAGAGACACCATTCTACTGTAAATATGTAATGGACATAAATTCTGATGCAGTAAAACACCAAAGCAATAAGCCGTACTAGTGAATTGGTAATATTTTGACAAATAAAGGATAGAAAGATCTTGTAATCAATAAATAGACGAACAAGAACTTAACTTAATGGACGATGTAGTTCACATAAAAATACAGTAATAAAAGACTTCTTTGAGCTAAGATAGTTCATCTCAATTCATTAAGTTGTGTAATCTCTAGAATTCCGAATGGAAAGTTGTTCTGAACTACCTCTCCGCTATTTCCCCTACTCTCAGCATTGACATTTAATGCTTCAAGTTGGAACAGCTTGAATAGAAGCCACGATGATTTGTCAAATTTTCTAAGTTGCTGACATCAGATAGATTATTGTCAGTGTACCCGAACACACATTGCTCAACCTCAACATCAAGAACTTTGGTGTAATCACTGATCGTCAACAATCCTTTGAGGAAAACTGTGGCCGAATACAGTAAGTTCCACAACATATTAAGCTTATAAAAGCTATTTTTTACAAGTATAGTACAGTTTTATCTCTATTGAATCGTTTAAAACCCAACCGTTTTCACACTAAAACAGCTTCAAAAATGGCCTAAATTGATATAAGCCCCTTTGCAAAGTATTTCAAATGGTATCCTCCAGTTTTAGTTGAACTGCAAAATAAACTGAATAATCAAACATTGCCCTATTTCCTCTTTCTAGTTAGGGGTACCGAAACAATATGCACTACTGACACCATGGAGGGCCAAACCCCAGGACCTCAAGAACCCACAGCGGACTTGGTACTACCGAAGGCATATAGTTGAAGTACACTGTTCAAACCAACTAAAAGTTTACCACGAAGAAAAAGACACAAACGAACAAAGACAGTGTAATAATAATAATAATTTCACACTATAAATGTATGTTTCAGTTCTAATGAAATCAATGTTCTCTGACTATGGAGTTTAAAGTTAAAACTGTTTGTCATATCATTATAGGGTTGTGAAGATTGTTGAGTTTGAATTGATATCATGAACTGATAATTATCATGTTCTCAATAGTGACTGGCTTAGAAATAAATTTCCTGGAGTTCTAGTGAGAAGCTGTGACCAGTACAGTTCAACCGTGTCTGATGTGAGACAGTTACTCACTGAAGACAATGGTGGACGGTTGTACAATATTGTGGATTGATTCAAGTTAGACATTAACACTGTTGGATGCTGGCTCTGTAGCATCTAGATGTTAAGCGTTTAAGCATGAAACCAATGGTCCTGCATTCGAGTAATATGTGCAGAATCGTGAATGTGCACTGATGAAGAATCCCGTAACAGATTGAAGAAGCCATCCAGTGCTTCCATGTTTTTCCATATGTTAATTTCATTCACTGATCAACTATAAATACTTATATCTTATAATCATTTACTATTTCAAATAAGTGTTAATCATGATTAGTTTATAAGTTTGTTTGTTCGTTTGTGTGTGTGTGTGTGTGTGTGTAATCATATTCCGTATTTGTGCTTATCAATCAAAAGGATAATTACAAAAAAATGTACTGAATTACTTTTCTGTTATTGTAAACATTCAGTTAGAAAATGTACTTTCTCATATGATCCAAGTTGATTGTGAATTATCTACTACTTAATCTATTTGGATTATGATAACATTGATTTGAGAATAAAATGTTATGTACTTTACTAATCAGTAGAGTGTAAAAGTTTAATAGAAAGAGATTAAGTATATACAAAAATGAAATACATTGGATAATTATAAAATATCATAGTTTAATACTTTAAAATAAATATTGATCATTTAATATTGATTGACCGTAGGGATCAATCGTGTACCGAAGAAATCACAACAATATGGATCATTATGGAACAATCAATTAAATGAGATTTATCACTCTATATCAACTTCATTGACTACAAGAAAAGCATTTGATAGCATGGATAGGATAACACTATGGAAGATTCTTCGATACTACAGTGTTTCTAGGAAGACAATCAAAATCATACCGAATTCCTATGATGGCTTAAACTGCAAAATCGTGCATGAAGGACAAGTGACAGACTCGTTCGAGGTAAAGACCGGTGTCAGGCAGGGTTGATTGCTCTCACCCTTCCCCTTTCTCCTCGTGATCAATTGGGTCATGAAAACGTCGATACCTGAGGGGAAGTATAAGATACAGTGGACAGATAGAATGCAGCTGGATGATCTAGACTTCGCAGATGATCTAGCTCTTCTATCGCACACGCAACCACAAATGCAGGAGAAGACGAACAACATAGCAGTAGCCTCAGCAGCAGTAGGTTTCAACATACACAAACGTAAAAGCAAGATTATCCGATACAACACAACATGCACCAATCAAATCACATTTGACGGAGAAGATTTGGAAGATGTAAAAACCCTTACATATTTGGGCAGCATCATTGATGAACACGATGGATCTAATGCAGATGCAAATGCGCGGATCAGCAAAGCAACAGCAGCATATTTACAAGTGAATAACATCTGGAACTCAAAACAACTGTTTGTCAACCAACACCAAATTCACAATTTTCAATTCAAATGTCATAACAGTTCTACTGCATGTGTAGTTGGAGAACTACGAAAGCAATCGACCAGAAGATACAAGTGTTGATTAATAGCAATTGTCTACACAAAATACTCGGATCCGTTGGCCAAACACAATCAGCAACGAGCCACTTTAGGAGAGAACAAACCAGATTCAGACGGAGCACGAAATCAATTAGAAGCTGTGGAAGTGGATAGGATACACATTGAGGGAAGCAATAAACTGCGTCACAAGGCAATCCCTCACTTGGAATCCTCAGGGCCAATGGGGGTGAAAAGGAAGACCAAAGAACACATTACGTCGAGAAATAAAGAGAGATATGAGGAGAATGAACAAAAATTGTATGGAACTAGAAAAGAAGACCGAGGACAGAATGGGTTGGAAAATGCTGGTTGGCGTACTATTCTGCATTGGGAATAACAGAATTAAGTGAGTAAATAATATTGACTGAAGAAAAAAGAGCAATTTTGTATTGGTTAATTTTTACATGACTTTGTGTTCAGTCCACTTATAGCTCTTCTGAGGCTATTTTCGGTCCCAGAACCAAATAAATAACGAGGGTTGAGTGTTGGGTTGACAACTTTAAGCCGTAGAAAAAACGCTAACAAGAATAAGATAATTAAACCATTTAAACTCTGTCCACTAATTTGACGTCCCATGATGTAAGCTGATATTCTTCGGAAGTTACGAGACTGATGCCACTTCTAACAACCAGAGCTACAATGTTTATAGGTACATGGAATGTCCGGATTTTATGTTGATAAAATTTTAAAAATTACTTATGATTATTCAAAAAATTATCTACAATGTCAATAACATGTTATGAGAGAATTTACAGTAATTAAGAATTCTGAAAAATACTTACATAACTCTAAAACTTTTATCTATTACTAATGCCGAACTCAGGTCCTCGGTTCGAATCCCGCGAGGGAGATTTTAGATGCTCACTGCTGAAGAGTCCTATACTAGGATGAAACGACCGTCCGGTTTTTCAGGTTTTTCAATGGTGGTCTAGTTTTAATTGACTCATAAATTCAACTATTAAATTACTAAGAAAATCTCCATAAAGCCTCCTTTTGTTAATTTATTACACTTTTCTCAAACGTTTTATTGACTGGATGCTAAATTAAAAGGGAATTTACGTCAGCTTTCTAGAAGTTTCCATTGTTTGAAGATAATTTGTAACCCTATGAATACTTTTCGGTTTATAAGAAAGCTTCTCTCATAATTCTATGTTGTTAGGGTGGCTAATACGAAGCCTATACACTTGATTGAATCTTATGGAAAACGCAACACCTTTTAAATATTGAAAATTTCCGGAATACCTTAAAACTAAACTGTGCAGATGACTCATAGCGACTGTCATAATGAACATGAGAAATTTTAGTCAGTTATTAGCTAGTTACAATTAGAATCCAGAATTGAAGATTTAAGGTTAAGTTAGAATGGATTAATCGAAGACCGTAATCCCAATCTTAACCCTAATTCTAAATTTTATGTGAATAACTAATCACCTACGTTTGGTAGACAACAATCTATTTTCATCAATGTTCACAATTGATTGGTTCTCCTATATAGTATGGTTACACCTATGAATTTATTAAACCTCATAAAAGACACATAAAGTAATTAATATCAATAGGACTGTGTTTAATCTGTTCGGATTACCATTCAATTCTTTTCATTGTTCATGTACTGTCAATTAATCCTGTAACTTGATATTAATCATCATTCATGATAAATTCCTAGATTTATTTGCTGAACATACTGAAAAGAATAGGGTGAGATTATATTTTATGGACGAATCAATCAGGTATGGGATCACAGATCACGGATTTTGGCGCGAAATTCACTCATTCATTCATTCAGATAAATAGAGTTTTGGTATTATATCTTATATCAGTTCGTGATGAAAACCCTAAATCTAATTTCTAACTTTGATCACCAACTATAAATCATAATTCTAATTCCTCAGACTACTTTACAAATCTTATTTGATCCTAGTTATTAGGTGGACAGTTTTCAGGTCAGTCAAACATCGCTCAAATGTCGCCCATAAATTATAGTCTCACCAAAAATAGTATTCAAATCTTTAGGTGATGTTTGCTTCGGAGTGACATCAGTTTTGAAACTGTTGGAAACTAGAGAATATTGGACATCTACTTTGTGCTAGTATAAGACTCCTCAACAGTGTGTATTCATAACCTCATCATCAACCATATCCAACAGGTCAATAGTAATTTTGCTTCGAAATTAGGTTCTGAGATCATTGTGAGACTTTGAAACAAGTGAAATTCTGCTATGTTAAGAATGAAACAATCGTAAGCGATGGTCATCACTCCATATCGAGAGTCAATTTAAGTCTCATACTAAAGTGAAACTACTGTGTACACCTTTATGGCTCTCAATATTATTCCAGAACTGATACTTCTTAATAGTGGAAACCACCTTCAAACGAAATTTATCTTCACAAAATCCATTAACCTTAATTAAGGTTTATTATCGTGAGTTGTTTTTGATCCGAAATCTTTGGAGACAATCTAAGCTTCGTATAAGTTAACAATGACTATCTGTAATTATCTAAGGGAAACTTATTCTATCCATGTCATAACAAGAGGGATTACAACTGATTGATGTAATCCAATCACGTTGATAAACATGCTATTGGAATAATTATAAATAAAAGAATATTTATGTCTATCATCCATTACAAAATACTTGTGTTTACATTTTCAACATGAATCTATTGTTTACAATTTTCACAATAATCCTGTTTATCATAATAAAACTCATCAACAAACTCTAAATATGATGGTATTCATTTACTATTATTTCTTTTCTTCTGTAATTCAATTTTGAAAAACGTCTTTTGATTGAGATCATGAACCTATTGGTATTAGACTACCATTGAAAACTTGGAAGCACTGAACAACTATTTTGTCCTACTATTGGACTTGTCAACAGTACACATCAACGATCCCGCTCGCGGGATTCAAATCCAGGGCCTTCGGTCTCGCGCATGAATGCTTAACCTGTAGAACACTGAGCCGGCATCCAATGGTGTTAGTATCTAACTTTAAATAATCCACGAAATTGCATGATCATCTTCCATTGTACTGAAATAGATACCTGTCTCTACCCGACACGGATTACCTCCACTGATCACGGCTTCTCACTAGAAATCCGAGAATTCTCTCATGTAGCTAATGAGCACATGGTAATTGTCAGTATGGGGTTGTGAAGATTATTAAGCTTTTTAATTGAGATTATGAACCGATTGATGTTAGACCACCACTGAAAACCTAGAAACACTGCAAGGCCGTTTCGTCCTATTGTGAGACTTCTCGGCAATGCGCACCCACGACCCTATATTGATGAATAAAAAGTCATTGAACAATTAAGATGTAATAGAATTTAGTCATTTCTGACAATCAAATTTTAGTCACTTATCATACGTGTGTTTCATACAGGTCCCATTATGATTTATTAGGGATATATGATTTTATACATTCAACTTCCTTTATTAATTGTGTTTCAACAGACATTGTTTTTCATAAGCAAAATGTCATTTGTAGAATGTTCTTTGTTTTCCATTCTTCGTGTCACGTGATAAGATTAGGTTCTTTTTTGAGATTAGGAATGTTACTTAGTTTTTAGAAGTAAACAAGCATACGTTTATCATTAGTAGACAATACAAGTCAATGATTTAAATAAACTATCTAAGATGAATAGCAAATTCTGTTAGATATTATCATTAAGAAAACAAAGTTTCTCTGTGTTTTTCACTTCAACATAATACTAAGTATACGACAATCTGTATCATCTAGTCTGATGACATCGATTATGGTCATATGAAACAAACCTGATAACTAGAAATACCTTGAAAAGTTGTTGCAATTTGATTCTAAAGTTAAATAATGGTTAAGTGTTCTTTATGAAAGTTGGAGATTCTAAGTTCGATTGATGATGGATTTGTGGGTACATAATGCTAATGAGTTCCACATTGAAACGTAAATGTTGTCCAATTCACCCTCATTATGATTGGTACTTCAAATAGGATCAATCTTTGATGAATATCACTTGTGAATTAAATTTCTTCATTTAATGTCACTTATGGGTGATAAACAAACGGACAAATAATGGACAGTTAAATTGACAGACTTTAACATAAATGAAGCAACATTTGTACAATGTACCATATATTCAAGATCTCACTGTACAATGTTGACTAGATCTAACCAAGCCTAGAGCACCACAACAATGTAGTTTATGACCAGAAATTGCTTAAGTTTATGATTTCTACATGAGTACTGTTGTGTTTTTTCATGATTGTTGATTATAAACTCATATCACGATTGATTTAGCGAAAATGCTACGGATATATTTAAATATCTGTTAGCTAGTATCCTTATAAACCAAAATTCATGCAAGACGTTTATTGATAGCGGTTAAGTTATATCATGAATTGACTGAAGTGAAATGTAGAGTTTACGTGTTTGAGTATGAGATAGAAATTCTTGGAATCGATTGCCACTCACAAGGTCGTAGATGAGCACTTCTAAGAACTCTCACACTATAACGAGATGACCGTTCAGTGTTCTGAGGTCTACAATGGTGGTCTAGTTAAGATCGATTCGTGATTTGAAGCTATCAAAATTCTACCACTTCCATGAATCGCCTTGTACTAGAACGTTTAATGATTATTAAATAGTCATTAAAAATCACACAATTTTAGTTAAAAATAGATAAAGCGAGAAAAACGTGAAAGATAAGCCATAATTTATTACTTAATTAGTTTATATAT